TCCTATTAGGAAAAAGGAACAATTTTAACCATTAGTGTTACATGATAGGGTGGATATTTGAAGTAACCAAAAGCAAAAAGTATTTCTAAATATTGGCTTGGTTTTTGATGGTCTGATGGTTTCCTCTCTTGGAAATAAAGGAAAGGTATCAAAAATTCCACCATTCTTGTCTAAAAATCAGACCTTGTTTTTGATGACCTGTATTGCTAGAATACTAGGAAAAGTCCTGGAGAGTGCTCTTCTCTGGGATCAAGTACAGTTGGCACACAATGGAAAATCCACTGTGAAACACTGCTGTGAGCTTTTAGAGCTGAGGGTAATGGAAAGAATGATGGTTGAGCACAATCCAGAATGAAGTAGGCTTTTGAGATGGAAACCTTGACAACTTACTTCTGGAAAGACGTTTTCTGAGCTAGTTCTGCAAAGATGCAGAGGCCATCTCTGTATTACTACTAAGCAGCCTGATACTCAAATAGTATCTTAGGCAAAATAATCTGCCAAGATATATTTATTGGATTGCTGGAGAAGGATTAGATGTTAGTCTTCTCCAGAAATAACGTGTCCTTGGTCTCTGATCAATCTTTTAATTCATTTTTAAACTTTTATCAAGCATCTTATTTAGTCAAGGATCTGATAATCCCCTCTAAGGTGTCCAGGTATACAAACTAGATGTATCATTGCACTAAGAAGTGAAAATATGACAATAGCTTCTCTTGAGTATCTCTGCCTATGCTACTATTGAAAGAAACATTTGCACCATGCTTGTATAGGCCACTGAGTATAGATATTAACTCTATTAATCACCACACCTCCATGAACGTCAGTACCATTTTATAGATAAAGGAATAAAATAGCATGTTGCCTACATTTGCATACATTTGAACCACAGAACCAAGACTTGAACAGAGGTTAATCTCACCAGGGCCACTCCAGGATCATCTCTGGGAAATGCTTTCCAATAAGGCCTTCCAAAATTAAAAGATTATCTTGCTCAGAAGCCAAGTGGAACTCTGTCATTCAGAATATATCTAAACTATCTTGGAACTATAAATATCACCTGCAGTTTCTTGAAAAGAAATGACTCTCGTTTCTGTGTGAGTTAGATGACATATGCAGCTCATATGATATGCACTCAATGAATGATTTTTTCCTCTACAGTAGTGGCTATTGGTTCTAGAGTTAAACTATCTAATCCCATAATACCGGCTCTAGGTATGGGACTTTCGGCAGGTTATATTACTTCCTTGAGCTTCTGTTTCCTCATCTATAAAAGGGGTAATAGTAGTATCTATTTGATAGCGTTATTGTGGGGATTAAATGAAAATGTCTGTGTGAGGTGTTTAGCACAGTGATTAGCACTATATTAAACCCTCAATAGGTGTTATTTTTTTCATATATCCTTTTTCCTTTAATTCAGGCTACATTATGCAACCAAATATAGATGATCTAGGTATTGAATATGATCAAAGAAAAAGAAGGCTAATATATATCAAGCCTAATCAACACATAAATAAATATTCAGTGATTTTCCACACGTAGATTATTCTCTCTTCCATGTGGTTGATTATTGAGTAAAACTTCTCCAAAGTTCATGAGTAGGCATAGCCATAGAAAAACTATGAAGTGGATAAAGCTTGTCTTTTTTTTTTTTTTTTTTGCTTTGCTTTGGGATGGAGTCTCGTTCTGTCACCCACACTGGAGTACAGTGGCACAATCTCAGATCACTGCAACCTCCACCTCCCGGATTCAAGCAATTCTCCTGCCTCAGCTTCCTGCGGAGCTGAGACTACAGGCATATGCCATCACACGGCTAATTTTTGTATTTTTAGTAGAGACAGGGTTTAACCTTGTTGGCCAGGGTAGTCTAGAACTCCTGACCTCAAGTGATCCACTCATTTCGGCCTCTCAAAGTGCTGGGATTACAAGCGTGAACCACTGCATCTGGCCTAAACTTGTCTTTTTTGTTCTTAGTCTCCAGGTTGCAATAACACCAATTGCATTTATAGTAAAGCCTGATTTTAAGTATGAACCTAGAATTTATTTGCAGTAAGACGTAAATGCATTCATTCAATAACAAATATATACTAAATAATTTTAACTGATTACAGTCTGAAACAATCCCAGGAGTGCTTAAAAAAATTGTACACTTCAGAATTAAAGTCACTTTGATAGATCATCTATTCTAATATAATCACGCTAAAAAGAAAATTGAGATCCTGAGAACTTTGTATTTTAAGAAGAACTGAAAGAACAAAGCTTTATTAGTGGCATATTTGGCATGAGTCAACAGATAGGGAATATATACCAACAAGGTAACATTATTAAATCAATCACTCATTCAGGTAGCTGCTCCCCAGCTCATTCCTAAAGAAAAGTCTTATCCATAGGTCCAAGGAAAGCTAGTTGTTTATTTGAAGCAGAGGGTTGGAGGAGATACCAAGTGTTCCCACGTGCTTCTAGGAATGTTCTGGGCTTGCTTTCTCATCACCAGTATGCCTACCATCATCATTTCAACAGGATTCCTACCTACAAAAAGAATTACCATCTATCTCTCTTTATAAGATTTTCAAATAATTGTAAATAAATTCTTCAATCTTAATGCCCAATTCTAAGTGTTTCTAGCTAGTCAAAAGGGCATTAAGAAAGCAGATCAATAATTGGGTGGTAATTTTATGTGTGAATAGAATGTCATTAATTTGAAGGCTGACCTAACTCTATTTCTGGGAAGTGAGAAATAGTTAATCAAGGACAGTGGTGCATAGCATCACTCTCACAGACAGGGAGAGTGCCTCACAAAGCATTACTTTGGAATACTTTACTCCAAAATCTGGTAGCCATGTGATGGTGAAGGTTAGAATCAGTCATTTTCCTTTGTCACTGGACCACCATTTTTTTTTTTTTTTTTTTTTTACCTGAGACAGAGTCTCACTCTGTCGCCCAGGCTGGAGTGCAGTGGCGTGATCTCAGTTCACAGCAACCTCCGCCTCCCAGGTTCAAGCAATTCTCCTACCTCAGCCTACTGAGTAGCTGAGATTACAAGTGCCCACCACCACGCCTGACTAATTTTTTTATTTTTAGTAGAGACGGGGTTTCACCATATTGGTCAGGCTGGCCTCCAACTCCTGACCTTGTGATCCGCCCATCTCAGCCTCCCAAAGTGCTAGAATTACAGGTGTGAGCCACCATGCTTGGCAACATTTAATACACAGTGCGAGCAGTGAATCAGAGATGAATATCCAATGCTGGGCGTGGTAGCTCATGCCTATAATCCTAGCACTCTGGGAGGCCAAGGCGAGTGGATCACTTGCAGTCATGAGTTCGAGACCAGCCTGGCAAACATGGCAAAACCCCATTTCTATTAACATTACAAAAGTTAGCTGGTGGTGGTGGTGTGAGTCTGCAGTCCCAACTACTCAGGAGGCTGAGGCAAGAGAATCGCTTGAACCTGGGAGATGCAGGTTGCAGTGAGCAGAGATTATACCTTTCTACTCCAGCCTTGGTGACAGAGCAAGAGACTCTGCCTCAAAAAAAAAAAAAAAAAAAGAATGTTCACACCAATGCTGAAAATGAAAAGCCAGGTTCAGGAGCAGCTTCTGTAAAAGACAGGTTGCCACAGAAAAAGCTAAAAATGTGAAAAGGTTTCAGTTTACCAAGAAACCCTCCAGCCATTCACTTATCACAAGGCAGTGTCGATGACCCTCTTGAAATATGCCCTTTGCTCCTGTTCCTTGTCTAAATGCAGCAAATCACTAGTTGACAGCTGTACTCTGAGCACAAAGTGGTGACCCCTGGAACCCTGAAAACTGACTGCTTCCCACTTTGTCTACTTAAATATCAATCTTACAAGCTCCATGAAAACAACTATAACAGATTATTAAACTGATTTTCTTATTGTCTTAGAATTTTAGCAGAGGCCCAAACACTGTAGAGTGGAGATTATAAGTTCAGAGCTAAGACCCTGTAAATCTTGATATATGGGCTGCTGACACAAAGATGGAGTTTTGGTTCATCACCTCTAAGAACATGAGTGCTGAAGATGTTCTTGGGACTTGTCAGAGGGTTATGCAGTCCCTGAACACAAAATAGTGTAGGAGAAAGAAGTGCTTCTGCTCCCCTACCACCCAAACCAAATGAGGAAGGCTTTGGAAACCTACCCACAGAACTACACCTGTGCTCCTAGAAGTTAGGTGGCACAAGCTGTTGTACGTGACTTAAACCTAAGCAATGTAAATATAAGAGACTGATTCAACACCCTTGAGAACGGAGTGAAAAAACAGGGCTACAATGGAAATTAACTGTACTCTCACCAGTGGTGAGACAAAATTATATGTATTTTGAGAGCCAAGTATGGATTCCATGGAAAAGAGCTGAACTTTAATCACATTTGTAGCCACCCTAAATAAGAGGCCCACCTGGAAAGATGAAGTGCCACCAACAGAGAACCGGAGGAGCAGACCAGATGCAGTGGCTCACACCTGTCACCCCATCACTTTGGGAGGCCAAGGTGGGAGGATCACTTGAGGTCAGGAGTTTGAAATCAGCCTGGCCAATATGGTGAAACCCTATGTCTACCAAAAATATAAAAATTAGCCAGGCATGGTGGTGCATGCCTGTAATCCCAGTTACCTGGGAGGCTAAGGCAGGAGAATTGCTTGAATGCAGGAGGCAGAGGCTGCAGTGAGCCAGATTATGCCACTGCACTCCAGCCTGGGTGACAGTGAGACTCTTTAAAAAAAACAAAAGTTCTGAGGATCGTGGGTCACTGGAAATGAGAGGCTTAAAAGGAAACTGTGAATGGCCAGTTGTAGGAGGTGTCACCTGTGTCAGGGACCTGCAGAGGGACAAGCCACAGCTGTGGGCTCTTCTAATAACTCATGAAATCTCATCAAGAACCAGTTTTGGCACATCTGCCTTGGCAGAGGGGGAGAGCCAAGAAAGCTGGAGAAAACCTTTTCAATGTCTGAATTTTTCCCATCTATCTTTGCCCTCTCCAATCCCAGGGAATCCAGAGGCAACAAGGAAGGAGTGCAAAAACTAATAATAATAATAATAAAAGAAACCACCAAGCCCACCTTTCCATTGCAGAGTTTAGCCAGAACTGAGATGGGATGAATAAAATGAGAACAGCTTGCATATTGAAGTACATATTAAAGTTTGTATATTTTACAAAGGATTCTTCCTTATTCCTTTTCTATTTATCCAAACCCCACCTACTCTTGTTTTATTACTTGGAAATGAGATTGACTATAACATGACAAGCTGTGGAGTCTGCCTGAAATTTCACCTAAGGCAAGGGAAGAACAATTCAGCAGAATAGGTTTAAAGCGACAGGAATGAAGAATAAAGGTGTTTTCTGCTTGCTTTTAACAAGTCCAATTTATTTAATAAAGCGTGGTATTGTGTTAGTGTTTATGCACACATTCTGCAATTAGTACTTTGGAGCTCATAACTGCATTTCTCCAAATAACTGCAATGATGCCTTATGTTTATATTAACAACTTATATGTGTCAGACATTGTGCTAAATACTTTTACAAGCATTATTCCATTCGAGTTTAGTGATCATCTTAAGAAATTCATTAAAACTATTTTATAGTTAAGGAAACAAAGCCTAGGTTAAATAAGTTGAGTAAGATCACACAGAAAATGGCGGAGGCAGAACCTGAGCTCACGTAGCCTGTCTGCAAAGCCTAAATTCTTATTCAATAGGCTTCCCTCGTAAAACATTGGACTAGGCATTATATAAAATAATCAAATAGTTAATGTTTTTAATGTCTATGCCTATGCCAATATCCATTTTTATAATATTGTTTTCCATTTTAAATATTCAGAAATGGTCACATTTTCTATTTTTATCTAGGTGGCAGGAATGGAATTTTCTGCAATGAAGGAAATGATCTATATCTGTGCTGATTGACATAGCAGTCAGTAGCCACATGTGACTGCTGAGCACTTAAATGTGGCTGGTGCAGTGGAGGAACTAAATTTTTACTTTAATTTTATTTAAATTTATTTAACTTGAAACTTAAATGGTCATGTGGGGCTAGTGGCTATCACATTGGAATAACCAAAGATAATACTGCAGGCCTATCTTGGCCTGTCTGTCTATTGGCAAATCCAGGTATACTATATATCACACACCCTTAATAGAGACTCTAGATTACCTGAAAAATAAAGTTCTAGATTAAGGAGGGGGTAAGTGACTCATTTCAGCCAAAAATCCTCCCCCCAAAAATCTACCTAATATCTAGGATGACACCAAAAGTTTCAAAGATTGCTTTGGATATAGGGATTTGGATTTCCAATATATTTTAGGATGTTCTCACAGAATCCAAGCTGATGGACGTTTTTATATCACCAAAGTGATTGTCATAAAACCTTTTTTTCAAAATTAAAAAAAGGAATAACTTCCCAGTGGTTAGACTTAGATTGAGCTAAATATTTACTATCTAATAATCAAGACACTTACCAACAGCTAGAACATTCACTTGTTCTAGGCAACATTTTAAGACTGACATTCTGAAAACAACTTAAAAGACAATCAAGACAAAGAAGGTTCTGAAAAGATGGTCATATGAGAGGACATGGAATTGTTAGCCAAAAGAGAAGGCACAGATGTCGTATAGGTGCTACTCTTAAGCAATTGAATGCTTGTCACAGAGGAGGAGAGTCTTATTCTATGCTATCCAAAGAGAAGGACTGAGATCAAAAGAGAGGACTTGGGAAATAGGAAACCCCAATGTAAGCAAGAGCAGGAAGTTGAGCTATTCGGCAGAATTCACTATTTAAGTAGTGCACTCCAGCCACTAATTATGTTCAAACAGATTGCAGAAAATTTAAAATTATAGTTAAAATGCAAGTCCAGGCTGGGCATGGTGACACACACCTGTAATCTCAGCGCTTTGGGAGGCCGAGGTGGGTGGATCACCTAAGGTCAGGGGTTCGACATCAATGGTGAAACTGTCTCTTCCAAAAACACACAAAAAAATTAGCCAGGCTTAGTGGAGTATGCCTGTAGTCCCAGCTACTCAGGAGGCTGAGGCAGGAGAATCACTTGAACCCAGGAGGCGGAGGTTGCAGTGAGCCAAGACTGCGCCACTGCACTCCAACCTGGGCGAGAAGAGCGAAACTTTGTCATAAAAAAAAATGTAAGTCCATATATTTCTACGGTACTTAATGAAAAGTTGTCACAGTGACCTTAAAAATGTAAAAGCTTGGTTTAGCCATTCCTTTATGTTTTTGTTTTTTTTAAAGGATAGTGCTTTGTGAATATTTATATGTTACTTATAAAATGTAAGTTATAGCCGTATCTATGCTATATCTTGTCATTAAAATTTGGATATCTAAATACGTTTTCTAAAAAAGGCAAAGAACTTTCCCATATATTTTGTGATTTAACAGTTCTAAAGACAACTGATGTATAACTTTGAGATGATAAATATTTATAAGACATTATATTTGTTGGAATTAGTTGAAAATTCTGTGTGTTCTAATAAAGTTGTAAATTATGTTTACATAGGAGGCAAAGTTTGCTGATCAATCCTGTGGAAATTAGTCCAATGTAAGACAGCACTGACATGATTCAACCTATGTAAAGTACTAAGTAAATTCTCTTAGAATTAGCAACATATCTAAAAGCATTCTTTCTTGCAAATATTATTTTGCAAGTAAGACAGATATAGTCATATATTAACAGACTGATTTCAAGATGCAATGCCCAAATCTTTTCCAAAACTTTTTAAACTTTTGCCAGGAATTCATTTTCTCCCTTTTCTATTTATCCAAGTACCACCTATCCAAGGCCCTTGCAAGCCTCTTTACCATGAAGACTTCCCAGACTGCCTTAGCCTCTTTTAAGTTTATACCATGGTCATGCCTGCATTACTCTATGCTACACACTCCTTACCATAGAATTCCTAAGTATTCTTAATCCTTGTGTATATTTCTGTTTAACTATGTTGGCTTATACCTGTTCTAACACAGTGACTTGCATTAAAAAGCCATGGTATATGCTAATTTCTTGATCGAGAAAAGTTGGAAAATCCATAGATGGGAGAACTGGCCAGACCAGGAAGAATTTCTATCCCAGTTATCTTTGCTATATAACAAATTACTGGAAAACTAGGTGGCTTCAAACAAGCATTTTACTATGTTCAAGGATTGATTGGGAATTTGGAAAGGAGACATTAGGGCTGGCTTCTCTCTGCCATGAGGTCTGGGGTCTCAGATGAGAAAACTAATCACTCATATCTGGTGTTTTAGAGGGAATGGCTCAAAGGTTAAGACTGCCACACTGAGCGCCCATCTGTGGCTTCTCTGTGTGGCTTGGCTTCTTCTTAGCATGGCAGCCCCAGGGGAATCGGACAAGACTCCCAGAAGGAGTATTTAAGTGTACCAAGTGAAAGCATTTTTGGACCTCACCTCTGAAGTGACATAGTGTCACTCTCACCATACTCTATTGGTTGAAGCAGTCACAGATTCAAAGTGGAAAAAATATAAACCCCATCTCTTCATGGGAGGAGTGGCAAGGTCACATTATCACATAGCATGTGGGATAGGAAGTATTGTAGCATCCATCTTTGGAAAGTACAATCTGCAATGTTTAAATTCTTTGGAAAATGCAATTTCTAAGCCAGTTCTAGGTTTTAACAGGCTACAGTTTTGGATATGTTCAGTGTGTGACCAAATGTTCTGGGACTACATAAAGTCCACAGCCAGAATATCTTGTTAATAACAGTATCAATAATAGACATCATTTGTTGACACACACTAATGAATACTTACCAATGTCTTACAAGCATTACCTAATTCCTCAAATCAATGCTATGATAAAGAGCTAATCATGATCTCATTTTACTAACAAGAAAATTGTGGCACAAAATTTTCAAGTAAGTTGGGCAAGGTCAGTGGAAGCAAGATTTGATATCAACCATGTCTGTCTGACTCTGTAGTCTAGCTTCTTAATCCTGAAGCTGTATTGACTCTATATACAACATTGTCAGAAGCATGTGAACCAGTGCAACTCCATCTTGTATAAGAGCTGGGTAAAACAAGGCTGAGATCTACTGGGCTGCGTTCCCAGAAGGTTAAGACATTCTAATACATAGGATGAGATAGGAGGACAGCACGGGTCATAAAGACATTGCTGATAAAACAGGTTGCAGTAAAGAAGCCAACCAAAACCCACCAAAACCAAGATGGCAACAAGAGTGACCTCTGGTCATCCTCATTGCTATAGTCCCACCAGTGCCATGACAGCTTACAAACGCCATGGCAATGACAGGCAATGAACTTTATGTGGTCCAAAAGGGGAAGGCATGAGTAATCCACCCCTTGTTCATCATATCATCCAGAAATAACCATAAAAATAGGTCATTAGCAGCCCACGGGGCTGCTCTATCTATGGAGTAGCCATTCTTTTATTTTTTTTCTTTCTTAATAAACTTGCTTTCACTTTACACTATGGGCTTTCCCTGAATTCTTTCTTGTACAACATCTGGGGGTCTGAACCAGGACACCTTTCCTGTAACAACACTGTGCATCTTAAAGGCTTCTGAGCCCTTCTATCTTATAGCTTTTGTAAATAACTAGGTCTATATGGGGAATGTCACTTGTATCACTGATTCCCCCTGTAGCATGTTATATCGTTCCTGGTTATGTTTCAGCATGCACAAGCCCTTCTGGAAACTTTGAAAAATTGTGTTTCATTCTGTTCCTCTAACAGCACACAGCTTGGTCATAAATGCTTCTGGAATTTGTTTTCATCAGCTCAGTGCATCATTTCTTCCTTTGCTCCTGCCTGTCACAGCAACGTCAAAGCAGCAAGCAAAAACACATCCACTGATAATTCTTTATCTTCCAACAGCAATTTTTGCTTCTATGTTTGAATCATGCTTTAGGGCTCATACCCTGTTCCGGAGTGAATGTATTATATTATGTATTTGGAAGAGGCTTACTTAAGTGCCTGAGTGGTTTTCTCCATTTTATGGGGCAGAAGGTTATTGTAGCTTACTGCCCAAATTTTTCCCTTCTAGTTAAACACAGATTAGTGAAACCTGAAATACCCTGAGAACTCATTAAAGAAGAACTGCCAAATCTTTGAAAAACAGAATTTCCACATAGATTTCCCTATAGCTATGCTTATCAATTTGTAGAAAGCTAAGAACAAATACTTCAAGAAATGATTAACTGTCTGAATGAAATTGCACACACACACAAAAGAGCCACTTAATAAACCAACAATGAAAGGCACAACTGTGGATCAACTGCTCCACATGTTTCTCTTTGGAGGCTCAAATGCAGCAATGAAACGAAGCTGGTACTTGAATGAAGTGATTTACCTCCCTCAAAAGGAATCATGTTTCATCCCTACTTTCTAAATTCCTTTTAGTTTTCCCAGCCATCTATCCCTTGTATTACATAAGAACAGAAAGCCACAAATGGCATAAAGGCAGGTGGTCTAGCTTGGTCTTGCTAATATCCACCATTCAACTAGAATCTTCCAGACTGTTTAATTGGAATTTTTGTTTTGTTCTATTTTGTTCATTTGTTTGTTTAGCATTTGCAGGGAGAATAGAAACTGTCTCTCCTTCAGGCTGAGCACTTGGGAATAGACTACCAAACATCAACTTAAAAGCCAAGAAAGAAAAAAATACATTTTGGGTAACAAAATGGCTGCTGAACTCTATAGAACACAATTACTAAAAACATCTTGTGTAGCTGTGAAGGGAAACTCAAAGAGCTGTTGGCCATTATAGGTTCCTGGGTAGATTTTAAACATTCTAAGACAATGTACAGATATATCAAAAGAGAACGTGCATATCTGGAAAAAAAATCACGAAATAACTGGGATAGAAAAAGAAGGAAGAAAAATTTCCTACAACAGTCACTGAACTACAACAACCCGTGAAACACAAGGATGGATTAAATAGCAATAAACTCTTTAAGAAATTTAATAGGATTATGTACAGAATATAGTACTCATTTCATTTCCTAGAATGATAAAGGCTATCATCATTGGTCATTAGAGAATTGCAAATCAAAACCACAATGAGATATCATCTCATGTCAGTTAGAATGGCGATCATTAAAAAAGTCAGGAAACAACAGATACTGGAGAGGATGTGGAGAAATAGGAATGCTTTTATACTGTTGGTGGGAGTGTAAATTAGTTCAATCATTATGGAAGACAGTGTGGTGATTCCTCAAGGATCTAGAACCAGAAACACCATTTGACCCAGCAATCCCATTACTGGGTATATACCCAAAGGATTATAAATCATTCTGCTATAGAGACACATGCACACGTATGTTTGTTGCAGCACTATTCACAACAGCAAAGACTTGGAACCAACCCAAATACCCGTCAATGATAGACTGGATAAAGAAAATATACCATGGAATACTATGCAGCCATAAAAAAGAATTCATTCATGTCCTTTGCAGGGACATGGATAAAATTGGAAACCGTCATTCTGAGCAAACTAACACAGGAACAGAAAACCAAACACCACATGTTCTCACTCGTAAATGGGAGTTGAAAAATGAGAACACATGGTCCCAGGGAGGGGAACATCACACCCTGGGGCCTGTCAGGAGATTGAGGGCTAGGGAAGGGATAACATTATGAGAAATACCTAATGTAGATGATGTGCTAATGGGTGCAGCAAACCACCATGGCATGTGTATACCTATGTAGCAAGCCTGCACGTTTTGCACATGTATCCCAGAACTTAAAATAATAATAATTAAACAAAGATAAAAGCTAAAAGGAATCTCAAAACAACACTCGGCATAACCTTCTTATCTTATGTTTTATTTTGTTTAATAAAAAGACAATACAGAAAAAGTAGTAAT